AGCCAAGGCTGTTTCTGCCTCTCAGCCCACCCCACCAGCACTGGGCTGGGGGGCACAAGGAGCTGGGAGGGGGCATGGCTGGGATAGCTGACCCCAACTGACCCCAGGGGAACCGCACACCGTATAGCATTCATGCTCAGCACATAAAGCTGGAAGGAGGAGGAGGGGGGGGCGTTTGGAGCGATGGTGTTTGTCTTCTCAAGTCACTGTTACGTGTGATGGAGCCCGGCTGTCCTGGGGATGGCTGAGCACCCGCCTGCCCCGGGGGAGTGGGGAAGGAATTCCTTGTGTTGCTTTGGTTGTGTGCATGGCTTTTGCTTTCCTTATTAACCTGTCTTTATCTCAACCCAGGAGTTTTTTCACTTTTACTCTTCCAGTTCTCTCCCCCATCCCACCAGAGGGGTGAGCAAGAGGGTGGGGTTAAACGCCCAACACCACCCCCACCCAGGGCATCTGGGCTGGATTCACCCCCTCAATGCTATGGGTGAGCATGTGCCAAAAAAGCCTTTTTCCAAGTAAATTGATCACAGAGCTGTAACAATGTTTCCTTTATTATTTTTCCATGTGGGTTTTCCCATTATTAATAAAAAAAGCCAACCCCAAGTCACATAACCACCACCCAAGCCCCGAGCAGCCCCATGAGGTGATGGGGATGGGGGCAGCAGGCAGCCCCGGCGAGTGCAGCGGGCTCCCAGGCCATGGCAAGCTGTGCCTGGCATGGGGCGAGGACAGAGGTGATGCAGGGGTTGAATGTGGCACTGGGTGACGGGCGAGGGAGCTGGGGACGGTGTCTATGTTGCCTTCTCATAGGTGCGGGTGGAGACGACGTTGCCCATGGTGAGTGTCTGGTGGTAGAAACGGTGATGGGGAGGTTAATTGTGCCAGTGCTGCTCCCGGCTTGCCCTGTCCTGGGCTGAACCTCTCCAATTTAAAACCATTTCTATTTCCTTACCAGAATTAATTTCCCATCCTTCAGCTCCCGGACCAGTGATGTCTCCTTCCCCTCCCACTTCTGCACATGGATGAGTTTGCCTCCATCCAGCGTGACCAGGGACTGCAGGGAGAGAGCAAGACCTGACATTACCCTCCTCCCTGGGGTTTCTTGGCTCTGGGGGGCTTTGTCCCTCAGCGGGGACGATGCTGGGCATCCTTGTGCCTGCCCTGGAGCCCTGTGGGACTCAGGGACAGGCTCTGTGTGCCCTTCTGGCAGCACCCTGCCTGGCTTTGTCAGCC